AAGAACGTCAAATATGGTCAGATTTTTCTGTCCTAGAAACTCGTGTTAGTGTTATTATAATGAACAACCTGTTATGTTTTAAAAATGAACAAAATAAAAAAAATAAATCAATGATCAGAATATACAATTTGGAGTGTTTTCAATCTTATGAGTTGTTGAAAATGGCACTACACGGAAAACTCAACGTATCATTATGTAGTATGGTTGTTTTTTGTAGTTTTCTATTGATTCTAGATTTTAGTAAGGGTACCTAAATGAAGAAAATCGCTAAACGAGCTGCTTCGGTTTGGCAGTATAGGACCAAGATCGTGCAAACATTCCAAAATTCATAAAGAGGTTTGGTACCTAAAAACGTGACGTATACTTTGTTTTGATTCGCTATGAAAGTTTGACAGATAAAATGCATCAATTAGCTTGGGACCGAAGATGATCCAAAAAGTTGAGCACGTTTCTTCGGGACCTTCTAGTCTTACAGTTACCTCTATGGTATACCTATGTTCTACACTTTGGGACCACAAATTAAAAAAAAAATACTGTCCTTGTTAATTTGTATTTTTTAACATATTTGAAATATCCTGATGTCGTACCCAAGGATATTAGAAATTTCAATTTCGGTTTATAGACCCATTTGCCCTATTGACCTAATGACGTCCAGCCTTTTATCATTTGGCCTAATTCTCTATCACCAAATCATTTGAACACCAGTCCCACCCCTAATTCAAAACCAGGTTGAACCCTGATGCGACTTGAAAATCGGCTATAACCTACACGGCAAATGAATTTGACTCATATCTGAGTACCGTTCACTCAAATTAAAAAAAAAACTTAGGTCACTCATAGAATGAGTAAATGTTTACTCATATATGACTGACATTTACTCATATTTGAGTAACAATCTACTCATTCTATGAGTGGCCTACGTTTTCGCGAATTTATGTGAACGATACTCAAATATGATTCAGATTCATTTGTCGTGTACTGGGACTAAAGAAGGCCTCATGTGATCATTAATTTCATAAGAATCCGAATTTCCATGAACCCAGTCGGATGATATGTGGTATGAGAGGGCATACTGACAATACGTAGCATAAATACTGAACCAATAGCATAACCTCCCCTCCCCCTTCACACTAAAATGTGACGCCTTTTATTAATGATCCCTGATTGGAATGGTGAGCATTCGTTTTTACAAAAAAAAAGAAACGAGTACAAAATATAAGCCATTTGGTTATGATTTAAACTGAATGAGAACATAAATAGAAGCATAGCATTAAACCTCCGCAGCATTATGCATACAAACTCCTTGCTGTAGATTCCAATGCTACGTATATTCCATCTACGGTGTACCTGAACAGGAAGAAAATATAAATATCTTTCATTTTTGCAATGTTTCATCTAACCATCACTGAAGGCGATGCTCAAAAAATCGCTAATGAATGACTATCACCGACCGACTTACGAAAACCCTCACTCACCATGCACCTCGCGTCACGACGAATACATACCAAGCACACCGAAATGCGAATACCAATGTAGAGAAGGGCACGACACGAGAGTGGGGGTGTTTTTTCATCATGATGCATAAAATGAATTTGCATTCCTTGCATCCGACGAGCAATCTCATTTTGCAGCGGACGTCGATGTAAGCATAAGCATACCGAGTAAACATACATTTTAGTGCAATTCCCTCTTCTCCGTCTCATGTTGCTGTCGAAATACAATACACGCGCTTGCTGTGTGAAAGTGGATAATTCGAGGAATAAGCTACATATCTCATTCTCCTCATACTCATTTATATGCTGCTACGAGTGTATTGTTGATTTGGCTCGTTTGGTTGGTTGGGTGGGTAGCGAAGGTAGTAAAATACACATGAAAAGGACAAGGGGTAGGTTTTATTGGTGTGAGAAAAGTGGCAACGCTTCTATGTATTTATTTAATTTTACTCGATCAACCGACGCCGAGTGCTAAGCATCGTTTCCCCGTCGTTCGTCAACCTAGCAACTTAACATATACATTTTCAGCGTTTGCTGGAGTATATAACAAGCAGTGCTACATGTTTTGCAGATCACTGTCGAGTGTGTCAATGATTGCAAAGATTACAAAAGCACTCGTATTCAAAGATTTCAAAAAACCCTCATAAACAATAAGCATAACAAGCACCTAATCACCAATTCGGGATATAATCCCAACTTTATGTGGTATGGTCGCACTATCTATTATATCATTAGTGTATGGTACCCGTTTATTAGGGAATGCATGAATTTCGCAAGCTCTGAAATATGTACAATATATTATAGACTAAAATATTGGCCCGAAAGCAAAAACTATTATATAATTTCGTCAAGCATCAACATCGTGCCGGATTTCAGCTTTGCTTAAACGACAGTCACGCAGGCTATGATTTTTAAAGGAATGGTCACAAGCGGCGCCGCTGGTGTAGTGGTAAGCGTGACTGTCTCTCACTCCAAAGGGCCTGAGTTCAATACCAGTAGGCGCCATCGAGATTTTCTGAGGCATACAATCTTTGCCGTTGGTCCCCGGTCTCATGAGTTGATGGTTCGATAAAAAGCAAAAAAAAATGTAATATCGATCAATGTAATTCAAGCTGATGTATGAAATAATGATGTTATAGGAAAAAGCAGATACAATATTACATCCATGGATGTAATTTTGTTCGCAAAATCGATGTACATTGTACAACGTTATATAACACAACCGATGGATTGACCTGGTTGCAGCAGTTTGGATGTAATATTCAACAACTTTTTTTTTCTGTGTAGGTAGGGTCCAGGTGTGGGAGCTGTCTCCGTGGCGTCGGTAGCATTGATACTCAGTACGGAAGACAAGATCGACGGTAAACAAATCAGGTTTTAGGATAATAGCCAAGACAGCCGTGAAAGGCGTTTTATGTTTTTGCTTAAAACAGGATTATATTTGTTTACTGTTAACAGTAAAGTAGTAATAAGTTAACAGTAATAAACAAATACCATAAATGAACGGTAGTCCAAATTGTCGAACTTTTCCACAAATGGTTTGGATGATACCCCAAGCACGTCGTTAAGCAAAATAACCATAAAAAATTTATTAGGGAAGCGGAAGCGGAGTGGCAGCAGCAGCGTATAAGCCCGATCTGAGAAAGGCTACTTGTCAGATTGAAAACTAGTTAGAACCAAATCGACTTCGGTTAGGCATCTTGATGCCATTTGTGACAACTGTCAAACTTCCCGTTTCCGTTCCGCTTCCGCCCACATTGCGTTTGGGCCTTAAAGATTACGGTAGGACCACAGAACAGAAGTGGAATTGATGAATCTACGCGAAACTGCACCAGTGCATGCGACACCTAGGTTTGAAACCTAAAGCCACAAAAGTGATGATGTACTAAAAAATATTCCATATGATTTGACAGGTAGCAAAACGTCATTATCATTTTAACATCATTTCCATCTGCTGGACAACCGTAACGTAAATTGATCAATTGTGAAAAGAGAGAGAACATTGGATGCGCTTCACGCAGGTTTTCTATGAACACTCACACCACCGACAAACCGACATGACACTTAATCCTGACTTATGCCCGAAAATTGTAAACGGCCGATTTAAATGTGCAGTGATCCGAAGTGTCAAAACCATAGGATTTTTTGATCTAGATAAAAATAATTTGTCCCGAATGGATCCGACACGAACCAATTCATAACTTTTGCATGCGGGTTCATGACTCAGCTAAATATTTCCTGCGAACTCGGAGCCAGATGTCTGTAGTGTGCTTTGGTTAGAAACTTTATTGTTTTTGCTATGGTCATTCATGTCGGTTTGTCGGTGCTCACACCATCAAGGCATGCTGCAGTTTATATTGCAGGCAATGCATGCCTTCTAGGTGCACTAGTGTTCACAAAAGTAATATGGAGCCACTTTTGGATCCGAAGTTCCACTTCTGTTCTGTGGTAGGATCCTCGGTAGGATTATTGTTTGCACTGGAAAACTTGATTTATTTTTTATTTGAGATTGTTTTGAAAATAATGGAAGATTTAACAACAATGAAAAACCACAGACAAACAGACGTAACTCTTTGAAAAACTTGTTCTTGAAAACATAGTATCTCAAAACATATAACCTCAGTAGCGACATCTATCTGGCTTCTCGCGGAAAACAAGCTTGCTCGCTAACTCGTAAACAATATTGCATAAAAGTTCTATATAATATATAGAAACGTCAAAGTGATCCGATGCCAGCGCTGCGGCGAGTAGTTCGCGGAACTGATAATATTCAAATCAACCGTTAAATGCATGAACGAAGATACACAATGAAGAGTTACGTCTGTTTGTCTGTGGAACAACAGTGAATAAATCTAGAACAACAATTGAAATAGGCGGAACAACCAAACGTAAACAATGGCTTTAATCGCAAATTTCTCGAGAAACAAAAAAACATCCACGCTACCTAACACCACCATCTGATAGAGCAAACTTCCTTTATTGAATGGTATTGTTAGTTGATATTTTAAGTTAATTTGTTTTTAACCTTAAACATGAAACTGGCAGCACTTCCGTTTAATACAATCTTATTCACGTTTATATATAGACGCTACCCTTATGTAGATACATAGGTACACAAAAACGACGGCTCCGAGCCGACCGACGCGCTACTGGCCTGTCCGACTCCGAACACAAGAAAATTTGGCAAGCTTCGCTAGTATTCGTAGTGCTGCAGACAAATCCAGTTGTGTGTAGTGTGCACTTCTTCGCTAGGTATTTGGCTGGCATTTTCTGAGGCCACACTCTCCTCACTACCAGACAGAGACTATAGTGTTGTGATCCTTGATTATTATTTTTTCTGTGAGTTTTCCTCCCCGCGCGTGGTTACACTCTCACATGCCACCACCACCACAAGTGTTCCCGCCACAGCCACAGCGAAATCGTCATCTTTAGCAGCAACTTGAGCAGTGAATTGGATAAAGGTATAGTGTGTATTTGAGACCTCGTAGACCTACAGAGTTGGAGAAGTAGTCTGTGGAACAACACACAGCGACATCATCTCTCGGGCGCGAACACACTTTCTACCGTCGGACTGCGTTTGGCTATACCTACTTTGATTTTAGAAAAGAACAAAAACACAGAATACGCTATGACAGTTAAACAACGATGAGAAGTGGGCCTCTTTTATGTTGATGTCTAATTTCTACCTTTTTAGGGTGGAAATGCTTTTTTTTCGCTCGCGCGTTGCTTTGCCAATGAAAGACGAAGAAGAATGCTGGCAACTCATAAAATGGCGTCGGTGAAGTATTTCGTTTTTTCCTGACGCTCAGGAATAAGAGGCGGCTGACTGGTGATACGGAGCGCGTGTTATCAACAAAAATTATCAGGGCAGTGTAGCTCGACTTATTCGCGGCAGTGTTCGAAAGATTCGTGTGCGTAAAAGTGTAAGTGCAAGAAAGTGGCAAAGTGAAATTTTAATTTGCTCATATTGAGCATTCTACAGAGCACACAGTGAAATGTAGTCCCTACAGAATTTTGTATCACGTTTCGTTTTTCTGTTCGATGAGGCCCATCGTCGGAGTGTGCGCGCTTTTGTGCAGCGTGTTCTATTTGTTTCTATTTTTTCCCTGTGATCCGCCTCGTTGGATTTGCCTGTATGAGTGCCCGGATACAATATGCATGCACCGCAGCTCGAATACGCTGATACGTCTGATAATCGATTTTTCCTTCTTTGTGATGACGATATGATTTCTATCGTGTAATTAGATTGAGAATATGAGATTATTGCAAATGAATAATTTACGGAATGTTGGGCTGAACAATCTGCTTTGATTTAAATAATGCAGTAAAATAGAAAAAAAAACATTCTTTGATATATATAAACTTTTCAATAGTGTCTACGATCAGTTTTTAGTAGGCTTAATACCGTCCTTCACTATAGATTTTTCTTTGCCAAAGTATACTAAATCCGAAGAAACTCCTTGTAAAACATTATCGGGCAAAATACCTTATACTAGAATGAAGTGTTATTGGCAGCTGTTTCAATGAAGTCAATTTGTTTTCTCAATTTCAGATACAAAACGAAATTAAGTACTTGTCACACCATTGATAGATAACCCTATTGTGTAAGATAAAAGTGAAGTCCTAGCGACAACATATTGTGCAGCAGTTCGAAGTGTGTTTTGTAGTAATTAACTGATAACGGAATCAAGCTAGATAACACGAGTGAAAATGTGTGCGGCTCAAACGAATCCGCCCGCAAGTTTCGGCTACACATGGGGCTTTGCGGACAATTCCCGCACCGAGTCGGTGGTAGAGATTAGCCCTAACATCAATTACACCGTGAGCGATGCGACGGTAAGTGTTTTATGTTTCTTATTCAATTACACAGCATTTTCAGTGATTAGAAACATTGTAAACCCAAAAGAATAGCGAGTTATAGCTGTGCTTTCATGCCGACCGATCCGCGGGAATGGTTTTCCCGCCAAAATATGAGCAGTCATTTGGTTCACTCACTCCCCCCACCCACGGTAATGTTGCACATGTTATTTTCACTCGACTGAGGACAACCGAATCGGCACTTCACACACAGGGATTAATGCTTTGAACAAGTCGCTCTCTTCCACTTGTTTTTCTCTGTGCTGATGTGCATCGAACTTCAACATTATCATATCACACAAACACATTGTGTAACTCATACCGCGTGTTGTATGCTTTCACTCAACACAAGAACACCACAACCATCGTCATAATCACCACAAGCCCAACACTCCAACCCAACTCTCCCTGATTTTGTACACCCAACCAAACCAAACCAACTCCATGGCCGTGTGGCGTAGTGTTCCGATGAATGCAACTTCGCAAACGTGTGAATCTGAAACAGGTTCTCTCGAACCGCTGTCGTGCACACATATTCTGTACCTAGGCTTATTTAATAGTAGTAGGTTGTCGTAGCTCATCCAGAACGCCAAAAATTGAAGGAGCAATGGGTATGTGTTCATTGAAAAGAATAGCGGGTGTATAGTAGCCAAACGCAGGATGACTTGAGCTTCCAAGTGTCAGGACGAGAATATCAAGTAGCCTAGGGATGCCATTCCACCAGTCACAGTCGTCGGAATTACACGCTTAGAAATGAACTCAAATGACTGTCAGACGGGATGAAGTTTGTCTGAAAATATGTTTTTGTTTTTGAAATGTCAATGCCAACAGGAGAATAAGATTGTTTAGACAAATTTCGACATTTTTAAGCAGGTTAGATATTAGTTTGCAGTGTTCTTAAGTATAGTCAGTTATCCTTCAAGGCTCCTGTACTTGTTCTATAAATATCATAGGAACTTGCTTCAACTCAACGTACCATATGTCAACATGTCGGATTTGTAAACTTGTTCCTACGGGTTCGAGGGATCAGTTTTTTCCTTAAGCTACATGACGTACCAACTTGTCATACAAGGGTTTCGTTATGGTTGCAGAAATTGCTCGACATCACCCCTAAAATCAGGAAGTCTCTAGTTTCACTTTACAAAAATGTCCATTCAAATGGGATTCGTACCTCTCAGACACTTACCCATAGGAGTGGAGCGCGCCTCCGACTTAAAAACAACTGGGCATGACCAGGCATGGAAAATCATTTACATTCATTTCATGCATTCATTTACATTCATTTGCCTCTAACTTTTTTCATCAACAGCATTCCGCAAAATGTTGTTTAGAGCTTTAGTAGGTTTTGTTATTAGCTACAACTTTTGCTCATAGATCAAATCTGTACCTCTTATGCATCACGAATTAGAGCGGGCAGAACTTGTTACTGTTTTTTAGTGAATGTAAAATACATTCACTGAAAAACAGTAGTAGTTTCTGTTCGCTCTGGTTCGTCATGCATAAGAGATACGGATTTGAGTTGTTAACAAAAGTTGTAGGTAATAGCTAAACCTACAAAAATTTCTTACATCATTTTGAGGAATTTTATTGATGAAAAAAGTTAGGGGCAAATGAATGTAAATGAATGCACGAAATGAATGCAAATGATTTTCCATGCCTGGGCATGACATCAAATTTGAGTAGCTACTGAGTAATATCACGTTTAGGCAGGGTCAAATAATTTCAAAAATAAAAATAAGTTTTCACTAAGTTCGTTTAAATTTGCAACAACTCCATTTCAATCTGGGATTTTCTTTTTTCCTCCTGGTCTACTGGTATCGAACATAATTCTTATATATAAAGAAACTCAAAAACTTGGTCGATATCATTACAAGCTACTGTCTTACCTGTCTCATAACGAATATACGTTGTTTTCCGGGGGAACATGAACTCGTCTAATCTTGCTATGCAAATGCTATGTTAAATAAGACGAAGCATTCGTTGTATCCGAGGCCCGTTGGCACTACGTTTATTCGTTATAGGTCAGGTACCACAGTAGGATGGCGCAAAATAACACTTTGTCTGGAAACCAGGGGGGTCAAATTGTCATAGCCATAATCATTTGCAACATGCTTTTTTTTTTGCTCTCTAATGCTCTCAATAGCACGTGTGATATTGGAACAAAATATTATGATTGATTGTACAGTTGGAACACAGACAAACAGACATAACACATTGAATATTTCTCACTGTAAAACATCGTCGCTAAAACATTATCGCCATCTGTTGAGTACACTGTGGTGGGCACTACACTGAACAGATGGCGGTAGTGTGTAAACGTCAAACGTAAGAGAATTGACTATGCGCGCCACACGTGGCGGCACTACCAACTACGATACTTTTAAATTGTCCGTTAAATGCTTGTTCGATGAACAAATTGCGAGTGTTATGTCTGTTTGTCTGTGGTTGGAATATCATCCGCTGATCGAAAATTAATTTATCAACAATGGTCATAGCTGAGCAAATACAGTCAACTATCCATAACTCGATATTGAAGGGACCATCGAGTTATAGAATTATTGACTGATAGGTTGCTTAGATTCGCATATCAGTCCCATGTGAAAAAAGAAGGCACTGAGAATATAGTAGTTACGAAGTGCAATTTCCATGTAAATATTTGAAAAATCGTAGCAAATTTAAGGATATTTTTTTCGAGCAATAATCAGTTGCAATGAACTTCGCATGTTTCTTTTTATGTCAACGAAAAATACGATGGCCACTTGCCCCAAGGCGTCCGACACAATGCTGGATATGTTTGCAATTGTGATAGACGTTCAATCGCAAATGATTGGATGATAGTTCTAATCTATCACACAACGGGTGTTGCGTCTAGTTTGATTTTGATCATTTGGGGGGGGGGGGTTCATCTGGCATATTCTTAGACATTTTTTAAGTTGGAGTTTTTTGAAAAAGTCCCTTTCTCTTAGTGTATATCACAAACATATTTCTAATTCTTCAAAACCTAGTAGAACCTAACCCTTTTACATTTTTTACAGATGCCTTAGGGTTCAAACTATGAGAAAAAAGTTTGTAACAGCTTAACATTTTTTGTGACAACTTTTTTAATTCTCTAAAACGATGATTTTTAAGGTAAATTATGACATCTAATAGATAAAAGTGTGTATAAAACACAATGCTATTATCAACCTAGTACAATGGAAAGATGGGAATTATTATCAACATAATTGCCCAAGAAAGTATAGTCCTATGTTGAAATCAGACTGCGATACAGAAATATGCCCTTATGCCGAAGTAGTGCTCTACTACTCTATATGGATGCTAGATGCTAATCATGTAAAAAGTCAATCATCAAAAGTAGATATCAGAATAAAACCTTTCAATACGGCTTTAAAATGCGAAATCGTATGACAAACAACTTTGTCCAAGCTAGTATACGCCTATTGTTGATCGTTATTTAGTTATGCGTGATTTTCTGGAGAAAGGATAGTCAAAAACACGCAGGTGGGTAGTTCCATCGACAAACCGACATGAATGTAAATAGCAAAAACAATAAAATTTCTGACCAAAGCACACTACTGACATCTGGCTCCGTGTTCGCGGGAAATATTTAGCTAAGCCATGAACCAGCATGCAAAAGTTATGAATTGGTTCGTGTCTGATCTATTCTGGAAAAATTATGTTTATCTAGATAAAAAAAATCCTATGGTTTTGACCAGTGGCGTTTCCTTAACCTCAATCTACCTGTGCACCAAATCTCAAAACAGAAACAATTATCAAAATATTGCTTGCAATGGAAAGATATTGAGTGAACTAGAATATTAAGAGTATTTTTCAACCGATTCGAGTATGAATATGGCATTACATCTAGTTTTGAAAGTTGGTGCATAGGTTAGGTTAGTTAGGCATAGGTTGGCATAGGTCAGAATTAAGTGTCATGTCGGTTTGTCGGAGGTATTTCAGCTTGGTCGAGAATTGATCATAAGAGAACAAAGTTACAACATGTCAAAGTTTACCATTTTGTATGAAAATCGGCATGCGCTGCTATTCACCCATATTCTTGTTTTCGTTCAAACCGTATTTTTTATAAACAATTTTTTTTTTGTAGGGAAAAACGGTTCGAAGGAAAACAAGAATATGTATGATTATATCGAACAGCACTGTAAATTTTGAAAGGTTTGTGCAGTTTCAGGGTGAGAGGATGATCATTGATCAAGTTCTGATATGGAATCGATTGCGCTGAGTGGGATAAAATCGATAACGACTTTTCTTCTTTGGCAATACCTTTGCTTGATTTTTCGCAAATTAATGAAAAATCAATCATACGGCCTTTGGTGGTAAATACGATATACGCCATTCGTCCTCTTGCAATAAGAACAAAAACTTCTCAAGTCGACTCTCCACCGTCGAAGCAATCAGTTTCACTTTTTGTTTCTGAGATGCATTCCAGCAGCACGATGATGAAGCCAATTTAGGCAACTCGGCTTGTTGCACCACCAACAACTCACATCCCGTCCGGGCGAATCATTTTGCCTTCATTCTACTCATTGTATGAATTCGCTTTACTTCCGGGAGCCCAAAATATCTGAGCTGAAAAAAAAATATGACACATCAGACGTTCATTGTTAGCACTTAAGCCAGCCACCACTAGTATACTGATTGATGCTCTGAAACGGCAAATCATGTCATTGAAAAAAAATGCAATTGTAGATATTTATTTGGCTGCTGTTTAGCTGTTTGCCGCCACTTAATGATGCAGCATGAATCTATCGAAGTTTTTGAGTAATATCTGAACATGCATGCTCTGTTTTTGTTTTGATGCGGAGGATAGGTCTGTATGAGAGGCTAGAGTCGAGCGCTGGTTCATGTATTCCTGTGTTCATTTTCATCGGTTTCACGACTTTCAAGAATCAAGAGTAAATGTTGTGTCGTGTCCCTCTTGCTATAAATACAAGTTTTTCTATGATGTGCGGTGGTGTGGC